AGGGTTCGGACAAGAGACACCGAATCTCTAACTGAGCGGGAGGGACAGGCTCCCTCAGGGAAAATTCCCAGCACACAATATGGGGCACGTCCGAGAAAATATTAATTTGCCAGGCGGGCCAGTACACCTGAACGTGCAATTAGAACAGCTGTGGAAAGTGTGGTGTGTGACCCCACCCCGCGCATTGTTTGGAGGACCGCGGATTGCCATGCAGGAGGGAGGGAAACCACCACGGAACGATAATGACCCCAATTATCACCTGGGTGTCACTTCGGGAGCCTTCGAATCGAGGTCTGACTCACCGTATCAGGGCAAATCTCAGAGACGAGGGAACGATGACGATGACGCTGAGGGTGCACGTAGAGCTGCAGGAGGACTGTCCGTACGATCTTGCTGAAGTTTACGCAAGGTCCTGATGGCTACCTGACGGGGACCTCGAAGCTTGGGCCGCCTCGGGGAGCCTTGGCGCGCTTCTTCTAAGAGTCTGATCTACGGGGCGTATCCCCCAAGAGCTCGGAAACAAAGAGCCTCGCGAGAGGTCCGGGGCGCCTAGGTCCTGATTCTGCTGCGGCCCTAAACTCTTCGAGCGCACTCGGCCACGTGTCGAACGTGCCTGGGCTCGCTCTCGTCGGCGACGCTAGGATCAGCGCATTCGCGCCGTTCAATCTGGGACATCCCCAGGCAGACAAGTTGCGACAATCGCTGTCGGTGATACTGGAGCGGTGCATGTGGGAGATCTCAGAGAACTGGATAAACTTGACATTGATGCGCTTCGGAAAAGGGGGGGAGGAACTGAGCGACATGGGGGAGGGCCGTCGCGCATCTTTTTCTGCGGGTGCGCGCTGACACTTCAGCGCGGGCCCCCAGTTTGGCGACTCCACCGCGCCTTGAAAAACGCCCCCGCTGAGGCGACGACCGGGGATCATCGCTTACTGCTTGGCCTGACCATCGACCGAAATATTCTGCCGTGCGTGATATCTAAAAAATGCCCCCCAACCAAGCATGTTCATTTCCAATCAATCAGACGACCTACTGCGTTTCACTTGCTCGGTGACCTCGAAACCGATTGGCGCCAGGGCCCACTTCGAGGGTTCCAGATTGAGTCTGGCCATCTTCAAATGGCAGAGGTCGCGGATCATCATCGCCTGCGCAGGCGCGGGACTAGCCCTTATCCCTCATTTCGGTGATCGCCCTGAAATTCCGAGGGAATGATTCGGCCCCGCGCGCCACTTGGGCGCCGGACCTAGGACGCCTCTGCATGGTCCCGCTGGCGGCCAGGTAGGGCGCGCACATCTGTCCCCCGAGTGCCCCCAAGCGCAGCGCGGTCGATGCAGGAGATGGATTTTGTCAAAGAAGACATCGTTTGAATTGACAGGCGACCTTCAGACGTTCAAGGATGGCCATCGACTTCACGACTGCAAGTAAGTATCCACTCTTGTGTCGTCGAGGGAAAGAAACTCGCCCGAAATCGCACCATCCCCAGGAAGGCTGGTTCCAGGGCTCACGGGCGCAAGCCGAAGCGTCCAACTCGATGACGCTGTTTCCGAATCTCCGCCCCTGAAAGTCGCTCGAGGCCCCGTGGGGCTTCTCTTCAGGGGGCCAACGCCGCGCCTGCGACGATCTTGTCATCGTCGTTCTCATGGCCGGATGGCCGAACATCAGAAGGGGGGCTCGAACCGCGCCAGCTGCGCCGTTAGCCTCCTCGCCCTTCGGCGCGAAGACGCCGATTCAGTGGTTGAAATCGCGGGTCGAACATTTGCCCGCCCACAGGTGCTTCGCGGCATCGTGCGATCTCCGCCACGCCCGCGAGGAGACTTCTGCAATGCCGCATTCGGGAGCTGATTAGGGCCAGGGGCTGACTGCTTGAGACGAGCTAGGTGAGCTCGATGCGGGGCACGCGTTGGCGGGGGTACCTCGCGCGCGCGCTTGCGCGTGGAACTCGCGGAGATAACCAGCCGCTTCTACAGACCTGTCAAAGCTGTGCACCAATGCGTTTGCTCCTTGCTGGGAGACTCAGACGTCGCATTTCGCCTGTTTCCCGCCTGGTCCCTGACGCCCGCCAGATGCGGCCGAAAAAGACTTCGCATCTGATCTGCTGTCTGCATCATCTTGGCTTACTGTCCCATCCTCCACTCCTGAGTCTCAATCGGCTGATGGCCAGCTGCGCGGGCAAGGCGCCGTCGCTGTCTGGTCGCGACTTCTGGAGATGGTTCGGCAGCGGGGAAGTGAGCGGGATCCATCAGCGCGGCCCCCCGCGCGAGAACATCGACCGCCGTCATCTCGCGAGCCGCGATGCGGGGGCGCAGCGTCTTCGGCGCAAGCGAGGCGCCCCGGCGAAACGCGGCAAGAGGATCGCCCCTAATCGCCAGCAGCATGGCCGAGAGCGGCCTGGTCTCTCGAATCTTATCGTCGATCTCGCATGGCGGGCCGCTTCTTGCATCGAGGCGCTGCAGCGCGGGTGGGGCTCTGGCGGGACAAGGCGATCCGCGGGGCCCGCCCTGGTAGATTGGGTCAACAGGTCGCGGCGCTGGCCCGCGTGAAACAAATCTTCCAGCATGGGCCGATCCATTGGCTCGGGCTCTCCCCGCGCCTGGAGACGCGCCGTGGCTGCAGCACGATGAGACACCCTGAGCCGGATTGCTTCCGGGGGCCATTCTACCGCCCCCCTGCTCGCGAATGGCGTCAACGCCCAGCCTGGAGATATTCGCGAAAGTCCTGTCTATGAACAACATGCGCTTTGTGCCCGGATGGTTGCGTGGCGCGCCCTCAGTCTGCAGCTCGGTCATCGGGCCCGAACACCTCCCGCCGCGCGCGCGGCTGCTACGCCGCGCTCGCGGGTCGCAGCGAAGCGCGCCCCCCCCTCCCCTGTCCGGCGCATGCGGCGCAGCGCCACGGCCGGCGGCGCACGCCCGCCGGGAGACAGTGGGCGCACAGGCGGGTGCCCGACATTGAAGGCCCAGGCCGCAGCGACCAGCTTGCTCATCGGATCGGCGCTAGCCTCGTCGGTATCAACATTGGCATGGCATACATACATACATATTCATATAGAGAGAGAAGGCTAGCTCGAGACAGATCATGATTCTGCGCGTTATTACATGCGTTGATCGCGCGCTGATTCTCAGCGCGGGCACGGGCGAGTAGAACGCGTCCAGGAATCAGGATATGACAAGCGGCAGCGGGGGCGCGGGGGGCCCAGGGGGCCCCGGCGGTGAACGCCGACGCTGTTCCGACGGTCCTCGGCGGGGGCGGCTCTGGGGAAAACGCCACAGCGCCAGCAGCGCGTCCAGAAGAAGCGTGTAAAGAGGAAGTGCAGAAGAAGGAGGACATGCTATTCTGGCGCAGGAAATCTGTCATTTCCGCTGCGGTGCCAGGAGCCTCCAGCACAGCAAACAGAGCACCTGGTCTCAGATGCTCCTTGAAGTACTGCAGCTTGGACAGGCGGCGAAGTAGGGCGCTAGCATCCCATGATGGCGTGGCGCGGGTAGTTTTCGCGCGCCGCCCAAGAGCGCCCATGCACTGCGAAAGACTCCACTCTGGCGCGCCGCTGCTGGCAAGCTGCGCGGTCCCCAGCAAATCCTCGATCGCGCTCCGTTCGGTATTCACTGCCGCCACATGCAAGCCCGCGAGCGTGATCTTTGGAA